GGCTTTTTGTAATGATCAAAAAAACCGCAGTCGGCGCGTATGTCTCGCGAATCTTGTCTCGGTTCTTCTTCTTCTTCCTTTATTTGACCATCGAGTCTCTTGTAATTACCCTTCCACAAAAAATGTGTTTTTTTTCTCTCTCTTTTTTTTTTTTTCATTTTTAAAAAAGGAAAAAACTCTCCTCTTAATAATTACTCATGAATTTCCCTCCTAAAAATTATTCCTGATTTCCTATGTGGTCCAGTAATATATAGACAAGTGGATCATATATGAATTATGCAAGGTAAAAAAGAATCTATTTGTTTATATGTCACTGTACCATGCATGATAAAAAAATCCATTTGTTAATATGTTATTGAACCATGCATGAATTTAGGAAGAAAGTTTTGTCCAAGAGTAAGGGATCCGAACTCACATCATATTGGTTAGAGAGGTGCCAATTACCACTAAATAAAACTCATGTTTGGAAGAATAACTTAACATTCCTGCTATAATTGAGTTAAATATAGTTTTGGTTTAAACCGCTTTTAGAAGAATTTGTTAATGTTATTGTAATTGAGTTAAATATAGTTTTGATTTAGATCCGGTTTAAAATGTTTAAAATGTAACTATGTGTATATAATTCTCAAAATTGAAATTGATTAAAAAAAACACTTTTGATCACATAAATTTAGGTAAGTGATTTTTCTGTGGTCCATAAGGTCTAAACTTGACTTTTCCACTTCTAAAATTTAACAAATGTACAAATTTGATCCCTAGACAAGCTTTTTATGGATCTTTGCTAAACTAAAGTATGTAATTAGCTAGGTAAAATTTTACTGGTAGTTGGTGGAGTGGGTCGAAGATTGGCTGAGCCCAGACATGAGATCTAGTGGGCCGGCCCATGTGATTAACCCGAGTACATAGGCCCAGCACAGGCCTGAACCTCGTGATCGCACCGCCTCATCCAAATTGATCACGAAAACGCAGTTGTAGGGTGAAAGCGCTGTCTCATCAGTCATCAGACTGAAATAATTCTGCTATTCGGGTCGAAGTATTTGGGCTTCAGAGAGGGAGTCCTCTGCTGGACTTCGGTTGACACGCGTTGGGATCCGAACGACTACGTGTGAAATGAGTCCTTCTCTGATTCACTGTTGTATATAAAATGGTCCACGCTTCAGATTTCCGGATTACCCTATATCGTGTTGCGACTTGCGACGCTGGTTCAGGCACAGGCTGAGGTAGGTAGCAAGTGAAGAACAGTAATGGAGGAAGAGGAGCACGAGGTTTACGGCGGAGAGATTCCGGTAGAGGAGGCGGATGTTGACATGTCTGCCGCCGATGACGACGCCATCAAGGTCCCCACATCACTCTCTCACAAGCAAATAGATCGATGATCGATGATCGATGTGGTTGTGTAATAAGTAGTTTGTTTTTGTGGTATCTCTGAATTTATGGTGGATGCTGCAGGAGCTGGACGAGATGAAGAAGCGGTTGAAGGAGATGGAGGAGGAAGCAGCTGCTCTTCGCGAAATGCAAGCCAAGGTTGAAAAGGAAATGGGCGCTGTTCAAGGTTTAACCTCGTCTTGGAGTACCTTGGACCATACGATTTGAAATGAAATTTCATATAAAGCTACTCTAGCACCCGCCAGTGTGCCTAATGTCAATAATTTTTTACAGATCCTGCGGGTGCTGCTGTAAGCCAAGAAAACAAGGAGGAGACAGATTCACGATCCGTGTTTGTTGGCAACGTGAGATGAGAACTATGGTCTTGATATAAATTTTTTACATTATTCTTCACATGCTGCACTTTTCAATTGATCAAATTAACTAACTTGTTGATCTTGATCATATTTGTGTTGCGGCCTGATAAATACACCTATAGTACTAGCTATATTGTTTTATTGTTAATTTATGTTGGTGAGCATATCCTAGGCGAAGATTGGGTATATTTAGGTGTAAGTTAATTCTGCATAACTGCTGCTACGTTTTATTTTTACCTTTTATGCATCTCAAAAGTAAATCTGTTTAGTGATTGATAAAGTGATTTAGATTCCTCTTCCTTTCTATCGGTATTGGAAGTTCCATTCCAACTCAAGTCAAAGATATTGCAAACACATATTATTTAAGGCTTATTAGTGAAAACTTTAAGTACAGTTTTAACAAGTGTATTGTTGATGTATCCATTTTACTGGAAATCTTGTCCTGTATTTGTCTTTTTTCTTTATTCCACTGTTGTGTGTGGATGCGATGTGCATCTTCACATTGTCAGAGTAGATTTTTAACTTATCTGTCTCCCTATGATCGCAGGGTCATTCATTTTACCTGAAGTTCTCAGTATTTGCGCTCTGTTAGGCAATATTACTTATTGTGTCGTTAGGATTGTGTTCAAGCTGTAAAAGAAAAATATTCTGTATGTTTGAAACAAATTGAAGGAAAAAGTTTCAAAAAGAATGAAAAGAAGTATCCCAAATGTTTACAAAAAAGAAATATTCCAAAAAAGAACAAGATGAAAAAAAAAGAAAAGAAAAACCCTATGTATAAAAGGAAACTGAATGGCAAGAAAAAAAACAAAAAAAAAGAAGGAAAAGGAATGTGAAGATTGGGAAAATGACAAGGGTTGATGTAGTTCATTTGGTGCAAAAAAAGTATGTGAAAGTATGAACTTAGGTAGGGATGGATGGGAATGTGAATTAAAGATGCTTCAACTTCGTTTCGTGAGAGCATGATCACATCTATGGAGACAGATCATTTGCATGCAATGTTAGTTGCAGAGCATTGTTGCTGCTGGGAATGATGGTAACTTGTGCTTCAGAAATGAGGGCTATTTAACTGACCTTGATGAGGGTACATAATTTTGCTTTTCTCGTGGCTTTGATATCGATATTCTTGATTTTATTTATCTCTCTGTCAGGTATTGCTTACTGGAAAGTTTTTGCTGGCAATTAACGATCCTTAGTGGATCAGTTTCTGCCCCTCGGGTAGCTTTACCATCACTTTACTTTCTCTTCTTTGATTCTTATATTGCAAGGTTACGACTTCTGAGTGCCTTGTAATATGAGAGCGGATGCATTTCTTGCTTCTGACTTTGCTTCAAATTAAATAGCATATGTATGCAGAAGAGATATCGAGTTGCCATATATATAAGTATAAGTAGCCCTCTACAAGAATTGGGAATTTTGGCAGTTAGTGCTAATTAGATTATGACTTGAGGTGGAGAGTTTTAAGTGGAGATAGTACTAGGATTTATAGAGATGGGGAATGAGAATTGCCCATGTAGTTTGAACATTTTGGAAGGAGATATACTTGGTGGACGTGGACGAGTTGACAGTGCTTGAGGTGAGGTGCAAAGTACCACTCATGCACTAAAATTAACTCTCAGAACAGCACTATGAGTTCATAGATGAGAAACAAGTCCCAAACAGATGTTAGATTGTTGCTTGCTTAAATTGTTTTAGTTGGCTGACTTGCCTTCTCTTGACGTCATTAAATAATAGAGTTGAGCGTATATTCATTTGATAATTTACATGTCTGGAACTAAGTATACAAAATTAAAAGAGCCTTTTGTGGTTGGCACGAGCCATGATGCTTACAGAAATTAACTAAAAATATCCTTTGAAGAAATATGGTCAGTGGTTACTGATGTTGAAGGGAGTAAACATCGTATACTATTCACTAATGTTTTACTGATATTGGTTGGTTCATCTTATTTTCTAGTTTTAAGGCTAAGGATCACGTCACGTGATCCTTTGATCAATTTAAAGAAGAATCAATCTTTAGCTATTTATTACCTTTGAGTGTAATGGAATATGCATAATTTTCGGGATGGTACTCTTTGGGGTATTACACTTTATTTTATTTGTTTATTTTTCCAAAGCTTCTCTTAGGATGTACTTTCTGTTTTATGGCAAATTCCGTCTTCGATTAAAAAAATTCTTTGGGATGGAACTGGAATTGCAGGTTGATTATGCATGTACACCTGAAGAAGTGCAGCAGCACTTCCAATCATGTGGTACTGTCAACAGGGTGACTATTCTTACAGATAAATTTGGCCATCCGAAGGGCTTTGCATATGTCGAGTTCCTCGAAGCTGAAGCTGTTCAGGAGGCACTCCTTTTAAATGAGTCAGAGTTGCATGGAAGACAATTAAAGGTAGCTACTTGGAGAAGAATTTGTGCTTCTGTGAAGTTTTGGACATTGCCATACTAATTATACATTGTATAACTAGCACAGTTGTCCATAGCGTGATTCAAAGTTCTAATAATTCTAATATCATTCTATTAATCTCAGGTTCAACAAAAGCGGACTAACGTCCCTGGGATGAAGCAGTATTTTCCTCAGCGTTACAATCCTTACATGGGTTATCGGTCCCGGAGGCCTTATGTGCCGCCTTATTTTTACTCACCATATGGATATGGGTGAGTTCTCCTACAGAACATGTTTGTTCAAATTTATTGCCGGTTAGATATTCATAGATTATTTTCCTTGTCCTGCTGCAGGAAGGCACCCCGTTTCCGAAGGTCTATGCAATACATGCCATACTACTAGGAGGGTTTTGCCCATAATTTGAATATCATGTGAAACAATATATATAGATGACTTTACCCTGATTTAGAATGGATAGAACTATGGATTTGATTATCTTCAGCCTTGCCTGTTGCAATTGCATAATGATCTAATGTATGAGATATGATAGATAGTTCGTCAGGTCAGGAACCTATTTCTTTACCATGCTTCTGCTGTATGATGTTTTGGAAATGGGATTTCAAACTTTTTAGCAGTTTAAAGCCTTATGGGTAGTAGTTTTGCTGGAACTTCGATTTGCTATTTGCTGCTGTCTTCTGTAACTTTTGTACAGGTACTTCCGAGGAGAGATGCTAATGGTTTATGATGTCAAATTTAATTTTACTGACGAGAGATAAGTTAAAATTAGGAACCACAAAGCAACTACCTAGACATATAAGGGTGCAAGTAAAAAGACCAATTGTTTGATTGAATATAAATTTGAAATTTTGTTGGTTTATTTCGTTGCGATGATTTTATTAGTTTTGGTTTAATTTGGTTTTGGTGGTTGGTTTTCTTGGTTTTAGTTGAGTGGTTGTTTTAGGTAACCTTGTGCTTGTCCTTGTTGTTTCTCGTTTTTATTTTTCTTCATAAACATAAATGTTTTACAACTATTTGTGTTTTATTTTTAAGAAATGGTTCTAAAATTTCTAAAATATCGTAGACAACGACTTTTTCCAACATAGATGAAAGTATTAAAAATGAATGTAACATGAAAATTTTGAAAATTTAATTTGATATAAACTTTTTACTCTCTTAATCTAAAGTTTTAAACAATAAATAGTTATTAAATTTGTTTCTTTTTTTTCTTTTTCCTTTTTGTCATTTGTTT